ATATTAGTTTCCAAAGCGTACATAAATTGAAAGAAAACTGTGCAGCTTCAATCAAGGTTGTCTTCAAAAAAACAGGCGCCATAGGCGACGAATTGGAACCCCTCGTTTTAATAATTAAAGAAAAAATAAAAAAGTGACAAAATACTAACATTTACCATAATACAAATAATGATTTAATAATTATTGTTAATTGCTTTATAATTCCCACTAATTTTTAATTATTATTGTTACGCGAAAGAATTTTATTTGTTGTTCTTGAAAAGTGTGCTAATTTTCGGAAAACCATTTTGTGTAGTTTTGTTCAGGTGCATTTTGGCACGCAATTAGTTCAGTATTTTTATACACAGTAAAATTCCCAAACATAGACCAGCAGCTCTCTCAAAAAGCACTTCCGGAACGGCATTTATGAGCTTCCGGCCTCATTGCCCCTACGGCTGGATGCATACCATGAGAGCCTCTGAAGCACATCTAACTGTAGTCTCCTATTGACATATTGGGTGTATGTAATCAAAATGAGCAAGAAAATGAACAATAACATGTCCTTCAAAATATTTACAATATATAACATTTTAATTTTTTTATAATATATTATAATTGGGTCAACTGTCCCAAGCCTCTGATCGTCTACGGGCGCCCCTGGAGAACGGCAAATGGCATGGCGTCTTATGAGAAGCTAATGACATAGTGTGGTGTAACACCAAGGCAACCACCATGTCTTATATGATTAGGGCTCAGTTGAGCTCCGCTAAGAAACAAAGCTGACAGTGAGGCTCCGGCTTTTGGCTAATGAATATAAAACAATCTTGAATTTGTGCACAGAATAATTTCCTAAGCATTTTATGTCACAATATTCTCTCGCTATATTAATAAAATACATCTCTTGGTTTCTCTTGCAAATCGAGCATCTTCACAAATTCTCTATACCCAAATTAATTTCATTGCAAAGGTATTCTCACACTTTTTATTCTTTGGGCACAATATTGTGTTCTTAAAGAAATTTTAAACCTGTCTTTTCACCAGCAGCATAGCTAGGTTCTATGACGCCCCGATGTAGAAACTTAAAATGGGGTTCTTATATATTACTAAACGTAAAATCTTTTCAGTCACGATATTTTGTTCTCAGAGGTAAAAAATTCAAAATATGGATACTTTTAAATTTGATATTTTAACTTACTGACATTGCTAAAGAAACTAGTTCGGTTCTCCTACATCCAAAATAGTTGGATCGTTTCTTAGAATATATGCACTATATTGTAGAACACTAGTCGCCATGTAATGTGGGGGTCTGGAGCTGTTTTGCAGACGAGGGCTCTAAGACAAATGTATTAGCTTAATTTCATAATTCTTAAAGGTGATAGGTAAATAACGCAACCCTTTTTAAACAATCTCTACCGCTGCTACACATAAATGTTTATTACTTTTGAAAGTTTTTTGCAGTGCAACTTGGATATTTGCTAGAAATGTCTCTTCACATCAATACATTTTTCTAATATCAACTATGTCAGTGTGGCAACAACAAATTCCACAATGACTTTGGAAGATTTGGTTCTTACGCATAAATACAACAATTTCGACTAAGATTGACAATTTGACACTCATCGATGAATATAATGACATCGGAATATTTACATACTTGCCATCAACGTCTGATCATCGACAGTTGTACGACACTTAAACAGCACTTACATAACTTACGATAGCATTCACTTTTGACAACAATAAAAAGGTATTGTCTGGAGTCACAAATAAACTGGCGTCACTCGAATGCAAAAATCACATTCACTCCATATATTTAATCAGCTTAACTTCACAATTTTAAAAAAAAAAACTATTTGATAAAGAACAACCCACATGGTATTAATTAAACAACAAATAAATGTAATATAATAAATAGATCTTGTTTGAAATACTGTTAAAAATCGTGTTATTAAATGGATTTTCGTGATTAATAGAGCTAAATCCCCTTGATAAAAGAATATGGCTGGCACAAAGAAAACAAATAAGCAATGAACGCGATTTGTTATTCTTTGCCGATCACCGTCTGTCGCTGACTTTATTAGGGGCACCTGACTTCACGGGGAACCGCTGTGGACCACGGATTGTGCCAGTCTAGGCACTGGCGGATCCAGTGGCAGGTCATAGGGACCATGATCCCCTCCAAAAGGTAAAGACTTTTAATTTTCCTTCCTTTGGCAAAATTAATTTAAATATTTATGTTCGAATTATGTAATTATTTAAACAATAATGTGTAATTACATTTATAAATTACATAAATAATATATAATGTAATAACAAATGTTTATTTAACAAAAATCTACGATGGCCCCCTCCAAAATGATCGGCTGGATCTGCCCCTGCGTCTAGGTGCACTCCTGCTTTTCACTATAACAAATTCTCATAAACGCACGAAATTAAACAAAGCCATTATCACGAAGTTCACCCACGCGTGTTCAAACTACAGAACGCTCCAGAATGCACGCCTCCTTCCCACGTTCCGTGGTTCTTCGCTTTCGAAGGATAGCCGTGCACGGACACTTTTTTTGAAAAGCCAGATCAGTCGCTGGATGCTATGTTGCATGGAGAAGAAGGATAGTTGAGAAATATTTTGAAAGTGGCATAAAGTGACAAATTTTAAAGAAAAGTTACATGATGACAGTGTAATTGAAATAGAAGTTGCAATATTGAAAAAAAAATGCTTAATATATCTGTTTCAATGACCTGTAACAAGGTTTTGGTATCAGGCTGCATTTAAAATTACCGTTAATATTGTGACGCAAACTGGTGCCTGAAGCTTATTGGCTGAAGTCGTAAACGATGTGTAAGAGAACCCCTATCGCTAATGACAAATCCATCAATGTGATTACATCATGTATACTCTGCTTATATTCCGATTTCAACATGGCACTTAAAGGTCATGAGTTGGACAGAGAGGACACCGTCATCTACTCGGGAGCTTCGTCACGGCTTAAATTTTCGGTATTGGTGCTCCGGAGTGAATGACAATGTCCCCCACTCCTTCCAGTTGGTGACATTGAAATGCCACTATATATAAATCGAAGTATAAACTCCGTAACAGGAGTCCCTAACCCACGAGAGCTCGAATCGCGTGTTTAGTCTGCGTATGAATGAATTAATCAATCCATCAATCCAACCCTCAGTGCATTCGGGATAAAGGACTCACCGAAGAGTCGATACGACAAGCAAGAGCCAGGCGCACACGCTGCACACACACGCACACACGACAGCCGATGCGAGAGAATCTGCCTCGCGAGTCGCAATAATCACTGTGGGCGAGCCGTCTGCGCGGGCAGTGATAAAGGCAGGAGCGGAGCGCGCTGGGAGGCTGGCCTTGGCTGTCGCCCGCCTCCCTTCTCCGCGCCCGCGCCCGCGCCGGCAAGCGGCCACTCACACCGCCTGCGATACTGGCGGAAGGAGCCGTCTCCGAAAACAACAACGTTGTAATAAACACCGGGGGGCTTCACAGTCGACGGGGAAAGCGACATCGTTGTGAGTCAGCTAAATCTATCGTTCGTATCGTAAAATCGTTAGTTGGGTTCCAAGGCAGGTCAGAATATGTTTAATCAGTCGGCTGGTATGGCTTCGATGTATGAAATGTTGGAATGAGTACTGGAATCAAAATTTTAAGAGAAAATTTATGCTTATGATGGTTGACATTGACATACTCGGTATTTGCAGAAATGTCTTACAGTATACTAGGATATACAGCGTGGTAGGCTTTCTACTATATACTAGTATTTATTCGTAGTTCATCCCTAGGAGCAATGACATCTTATTAACCCCCCCCCCCCAAAAAAAAAGTTGAATGATGAGTCTGGGCACATCGGCAGTAATTTATTTTAAATGCACATCGATCCTTCGAACATTCTGATGCAACTCGATGTACGTTTGCAGACACATGACGTTTCCATTTACGTGGCAGGAGTTTTTTTAGCGCATCTCCAAGGACAACAACAGTTGACTAAAATGTACTCAAGGTGCTCCGAAGCGGAGCATCAAATTACTTTGAATGTTGCATCAGCGGCGAAGGAGCATTACGTAGTTACTCGGGAGCGTTACGTATAGCACCAAACCTGAGTAGGGTTTGCATAATTTTGCATAATTTTGCATAGATTACGTGCAATTTTAAAAACATTTTTTTCTAAAAAACCTCCACAATTTTTTTACAATAGACTAATGTACCCTTCTAAAAATGGCACAAGGCCCATTATCGATGAAATATGTTTTCGAAAATTACAAAATAATAATAATAATAATAATAATAATAATAATAATAATAATAATATATATGGAAGAACTACAATATTAATGATAGATTTGTTTAGTTAATAAAACCTGTTGTTTAGAAATATTTAATATTTAAATTTGTATAAATACAAAGATATTTAAATAAAATTCTAAAGAGGAACAGATTTAAATTTAGGAGTGGAAGTATGTGTCTACTCAAACTGATGATAAGAAAAAGTTGATGCGCCTGGTGCATCTGCACCATCGCGATGCATCGGCTTGTAACTTTCTGTATCCACGGCTGGCTCGCGCATCCGGCAAATCCTCATCCGCCGGGAGCGCGACTCCCTCCGTCGGCGGGGACCACGGCGCGATAATCCGCGGTTTAAAAGATAAGCGTCAGTTAGAAGAGAATGCAGTTGGCTTTGAACGCCTTAAGGGTGTGCAAATTATGCAATTTCGAATTCGAATTACCCGCACGTATTTTTTAAGTGTCGTTCACGAGATATCGGGTCGCGATACGACAGTGTCAACACTACTACACAGCAGTGTCAAATTCATGAGATTACTTCTCATTGTTGCGTGACAATGTTTCTCCCAGGTTTAGATTGTCGAATTTATGTATATGTATAAGCTTTAACATACTGTTTTCGCACTTCATGCGATTGGTAATGAGAAGGGGGGCCGCATTTTCCTGTAAATACATATTTTAAAGGAACAACACACCTGCGTTCAATATTTTTTTCAGAGTTTATAAGACATCCTGAATTGTTAGAACCATTTTAATTTTACATATTTTGGTGTAATTACTCCTATGTAGTAATATACAAAATATTGTATTTCTTATATAGTATTACATTTTAATGTATTTATATGTCGAAAGGGAACATCTCAGATACGAGTTTGAAAACAAGTTCCTAAAAACGTTTTTCACGAAAAGTAATTTAATGCTACTGCTTTTCTATGACCACCACCGTCGTGAATTGTCAAACTTACGCTCTCCCCTACTTGGACCCCCTTACTCCGAATCAAGGATGAGAGAATGTTTGTGAAGCAGAAGTAAACTCAACCAAGTACTTGCACATGTTTTTTAGTGCGTAAAACGTTCGAAAACTTTGTCTTTTTTATACTGACCCTTATGTCATTGTGTTAGTGGAATGGGGAAGGGGTCCCTTTAACCTTTCTTTTTTGAGAGTAACCATAAGTGGTGATACAGTCTGATGTCCACCTGCACACCAGCTCTTCACAAAACACATTGTTTACACCATTCTTCGATTAAAATTTTATTCAAAAATTGAAACTCTCAAATTGATTACAGTGCCCCTCTCTTAACTCACCATGTGTAGTGAAATTTTAATACCACAGGTACGTAAGTATTTTATATTTCAAATAAAACTCGTATTCTATGGTGAAGACTAGTGAAAAATACTTCTGTGCAGGTAAACTATTATTTTAGCCATATTATTTATAACATGATCGACAATGCTTTATATTCTAAAATTTGAAAATTGGATGGGGACATTTTAAATATAACAATGATTTTTTTACATATTATCTATTATTTCTTAAATATTTTGGATAAAACAAATACAGAGAGATGGACGGAAGGACAAACGGACGGACGTTTTGAAAGAAAAAACAACACATTTTTAAGAAAAAACCTGTATCTTCAATTTTGTAGTTGTAGCATGACGCCAAAAAATCTTCAATTTTTTTCAATTTCCGAGAATTCAGAGTTAACCCTGAAAATCGAACGTATCCCTTCTTTATAAGTGTAAATTCTTTATAAGTATAATTCTTACAAGAAAATTAAAGAGAAAATTCGCAGCCATTTTTGAAAAATTGTGAAAATTTCCTAAGGGTTTCATGTAAATTACCCCCAAAAATTAATGCAATGTTTTTCCAAATCGCAAAACTTCGACTCGGGATAGATATACAGGGGTTTCTTCAATTTAAAAAATATCCTATACATAGTTAGACGCTAGCGTTGTTCACATACACCAGACGGACGTTCCGGACTGACAGACAGATCGACAGACAGATCGACAGACAGAAAGGCAGACAGAAAGACAGACAGAAAGACAGACAGAAAGACAGACCGAAATACTGACAGAAAGACTGACTGACTGACTGACGGACGGACGGACTGACTGACTGACGGACTGACGGACTGACGGACTGACGGACTGACGGACTGTGAATTCTCGGCTATCCGGGAGACGCCGCGTCGTTGGCTGGGGTGCCGACGTTTCGCCTGACATGTCGCAGGCTTCCTCAGGGCAGTGACACTGCGGCGCTACGCTGACGGACTGACGGACGGACGGACATTTTGCCGTCAATCGATTTTTTGGTATCAAGGACCCCAAAACCAGGGCTGGTGGCTTTTAGAGGCTTGTTTTTCTTAATTTAACGATTGGATTTATCCACTTTTCCGTTATCAGGGCCTTGTAATGATTTTTTTCTGCTGAAATATCCACCGCTGCTGGTTTTTGTTTTCGCGCAACGGTAGTTTCATTACATTACTTTCTCTAAATGACGTTTATTACTCCGTATATACGCACGTATACTAGAAATTAAAAAGCAGTGTCGTTCTGACGACACATTTCGACTTTGAGAAAGTCAATTTTGAAATTATTTTGTTTATGACACGTTTCGATGACAACTTCGGATTCCCTCACGAACGTTTGATTATACAAGCACAAATATGCAATGCTGCTGCCCCCACATTTTCAGCATTATCTTAGTATGAATGGAATTCTATGCATTTTTTAAAAAAATTAAGAAAATGTTTGATTCAAACAAAATTTCGAGACAAATCGCAATAATTTGAGATACCGCGTAATTTTTTCAAACATTTCATAATATCAGATCCGAAATAGGTGAACGGAAGTGAAGCCTTTTATTTCTGCATCAACACCACCTTTGATTCTTATCAGTCATCGCTCTTCGATAACGTGCAACTAATCAAAGCTATCTTGAACACGGAGAAAAGGATAAGAAATCACCTATCTGAGAACTGCGGATCTCTGGGTTCTTAGATGAACTCGGAAGCCTCTGCTCTAAATTGTGCGGGACCGTAGTGGGGGGAGTTATAAGGACCCTCCAAGTCCTACTCACTGCAGAGCTCTATTTGCGAAAAGCCCTAAAATTATCGCGAGGCTCTTCTATGTCGTTTCTATGTGAATCGGAACTGCAAAACAAGATTTTTAACAACAACGAATGAAGTTTTAAATCTATTAATCAATTTTGAAATTCGTATCTTGTGAGGCAAGAAGTGAAACAAACCTTTTCCTTTTGAAGAGGGAAACCCTATCAATTCCGGGGATGCACTTTGTCTCTTTGATCATACAGTTTTCTTTTGCCACAGAATCTGCAGAACTAGAGGAATCGGCCGTCAGGAAAGTTTATACTATCTTACCAGTAAACAAGATATGCGTGGCGTCTCCTGGGAGAATTTTCACCTTAAAACGTTGTATTTGTGCTTTGCAAGTTCATAATAAAAATAAATTTCAAACGCAATTTTCGGGCAGAAAACGGTACATGAAAAGGTATCATTCAAAATATTTGTTAAATGGCAGATTCATTACCCAATTACCTTAAATTTAAGGCCCGAAACAGCAAAAATTCTAGTGAACAAAACCACATAAAATGGTTTCAAAAAGTAGCACATACACTGGTCAAGAACTACACACAAAATTCTCTCTTACCACACGTATTACATTATGCACTCTATATTTTACAAAAACAGACTTCAAGAATACAGCCGTAACAACGTGTAGTACAATCGGATATACAGGACAATAGTTCTCTACCCAATAAGCATTTCAGAAAAGTTGTTCAATAATGCAACGTGTGAATTGTATAAAAATATTTAATGGTGAGCAGGCTCTCCTTCGTAGCCTTGCTGTCGCATGACGTCAGCTGCCTTATTAGTAGTGACACGCCGAGTTTGAGTGTTCAGTCGGTAGGCTCAATGTGAGGATATGCAGAATAACATAAGCAAATTTTTACAGTTACAGAAAAAAAATTGAAACAGTATCATTGTGTTTGTATTTTTCCCGAGACCCAAGGTATCGGACGAAAGCACTGCCAACCAGAGTGGATTTACGCATAGGCACAGTAGGCACGCTGCCTACGGCCGGCAAATTTTCAAGGCGCAAAAATTTTCTGA